TCCACAGAATAAATACAAACTCACATTCACAGTAACAGGCATAGTGAGAAAAAGCCAGAGGAAAAACTATTTTCCCCTGCTGGTGGTGATTATTACATTAACTTCTTTCTAGGAACATGGTTAACTAAAGGGAAGGTGTTAATGCCTACTCCATCACAGAGGAACCATTGCAGAATATCATGGAAATATTTTTACATTCAATGTAATACAAGAAAAGTAAAAAGAGCAGTTAAAAATGAAAATTAGTGTTTACAAATTCTAATGAAATAACCAATCCAGGAAAACATACATCAAAGGATATTAAAATATTATTGAAAATAAGTTTTGTCATATGAATTTCCTTGTGACTGTTAAAACTCAAAAGATTATTAGTAATTACAATGAAGGAAGGGAATAATGCTTAAAAAGGTGAGTTAACCAAGTGACCAGTTGTGATCCAGTGATCTTGTGAGTTAGGTCACCAACTTCAGGCCAGCATTCCTTATCTGTGCCCACTTTTGAGTCCTGGCTGCTCTGCATCTGATTCATATTTCAGGTAATTGTCTGGAAAGCAGCAGCAGATGGCTCAAGTAGTCAGTGCCCTGCTACCTGTATGGTAGACCTGGATGGAGATCCAATATCCAATATCCTTGCTTCAGCCTGGCCCAGCCATAGCTATTGTGGCTATTTAAGGATGAATTACCAGATGGGATCTCTCTCTCTCCCCCTCTCTCTGCCTTTCAAGTAAAGAAAAAAGTTTTTATAAAAGAATACTATCTATAACATTGGGAAATCCCATCATTCAATGACTCTCAGTGCAGTACAACTTGAAGAACACAACATGATAAGTTTATTTTCCTACTAAATGTGTTCAATTTTGAAATGATGACACGTTCAAATCTAAATTCTAAAGAACAGAAAATTGGAATGGACATTGACATATTACCTGTCAATGTAGAGCAACAATCTGTAAAATCCAGAATATTTTACAAAATCTTTTTGTTTATATTGGGGATGGGGAAGGATCTGTAATCAGTCTATACGAAAAGGGATTGATAGGCAGGCAGTCATCTGCATCCCATATCAGAATGCCAAGGTTTGTTTCCTAAAAGATCAACTTTTAATTCTAATTTACTGCCAGTGCAGCTGTTGAGAAGCAGCAGGTAGTTGGATCCCTGCCACATGCATGGGAGAGTTTGGTTGACTTTCCAGCTCCTTGCTTTGGCCCGGTCTGGTACTGGACATTGTGGGTAAATGAAGAATCTAGCAGTAGAGGAAGCAATGGGAAAACACTGGAAAATTTAAATGTGGCTGTATTTTAAATGATATCAGAGGACAATCATCACATTCCTTAGATCTAACATGGAAATGCAACATTGGGGGATAATCTATACATTCTTAGATGTTTTGGAGGTCTGTAGGGATGAGTAGTCATGTCTCCCAAATATTTTGAATGAGTTCAGTAAATTATTGTGCATATTTGTAAAATACGCATGTATTTACACACATTTGACAACCTGGCAAAATGGCAACAATTTTATATATAAACAGGAAAATATGAATTTTCTCAAAATTGTTATAAAACTTTTGATTATTTGAAGTCTTTCATAATAAAAGTGTAGTGATAATAATATGATAAACATTTAATATTATATGTAAATTTTTGAGATTTTTGTATTTATTTGAAAAGCAGAAATACAGAGAGAGAAGAGAGAGAAAGAGAGAGAATGGGGGGAAGAGATATCTTCCATCTACTAGTTCACTCCCCAAATGGCTGAAACAGCCAGGGCTAAGCCAGGTTGAAGCCAGGATTCAGGAGCTTCATCCTGATGTCTCACATGCGTGCAAGGGCCCAATTACTTGTGCCATCTTCCACTGCTTTCCCAGATGCATTAACAGGGAGCTAGGTCAGAAGTGGAGCAGCTGGGATTCAAATTGCAGACCACATGGGATGCCAGTACTGAAGGTGGAGGCCTAATCTTCTAAGCCACAACACCAGCATGTAATATTATATTTTAAAGCATCATCAGTAAATAAAAAATTTGCAAATGTTACGAGCTATATTTTTCTAATTTAGAATCCTTACAACAGAGCTACCAGATCTTAAGAAGTAAGTTAGGGCACAGAATCAGAAACAAAATAGATGAGCTGGAAGAGATACTTGATGGCAAAAGCAATGGAGGAGATACAGATTTAGATAGAGTCAGGCATAGGATTGGCTCTGGTTCTACTAAAAGTATCTGAGTATTCATGCACCACTGGTACCACCATAAACAGATTCACATTCTACCTCAAACCTGTATGACTTTTTCAGTTTCTAGTTCACATGTCATGGATCTGTGGCTGTGAGACATCTAAAAGCAGATGCCAAGAGAAAAACTCAGGCATTTGAATACACACAAACCCATATGCTCTATCTACCTAATATTATTTTCAGTGTCTCCTGATGACTGACTATTCCAGGCATTTATCATCTTCCTTTCCCTCCACATCACATGTACACATCTGAACTCTGGTCATGCTTAATAACTCAAGGGTAAGTCCACTCTGCCAAGAAGGTCACATTAAGAACTGTAAGCTGGCCGGCGCTGTGGCTCAATAGGCTAATCCTCCACCTGCGGCACCTGCACACCAGGTTCTAGTCCTGGTCGGGGCACCAGATTCTGTCCCAGTTGCCTCTCTTCCAGGCCAGCTCTCTGCTGTGGCCCGGGAGTGCAGTGGAGGATGGCCCAAATTCTTGGGCCCTGCATCCGCATGGGAGACCAGGAGAAGCACCTGGATCCTGCCTTCGGATCAGCGTGGTGGCCGGCCGCAGTGCGCCAGCCGCAGCAGCCATTGGAGGGTGTGCCAACGGCAAAAGGAAGACCTTTCTCTCTGTCTCTCTCTCTCATTGTCCACTCTGCCTGTAAAAAAAAAAAAAAAAAAAAAAAAAAAAAAAAAAAAAAAAAAAAAAAAAAAACAAAAAAAACAAAAAAAAAACCACTGCTAGCTTTTTTAACCATTTTACCTCCACGGATTCTTACACAAATTCAGATCTAAAACTCTCCCAAAGTTTCAATATAGGTCTTTATCATTTAGAGACCCAATGGAAGGTCCTATATTCCCTTCTAAACAGAGACATTGCTCTTAGAATCTGTCATTCCACAAATGTGTAAAAAGGGGGGAGTAGAAATGAACACCTAGCCCTAGAACAGGAAGCACAGAATGAGAAACACCAAGAGAGGAGGCTGAAGGCCCTCACCTGGTTGCAAACAGGTTTATACTTGAGCCCTGGCTTGTTCAGGATCGTCTCCAGCTGCTTGTGGTTGAAGTTAGACACCCCAATGGACTTAGCCAACCCTGCATCCTTACATTTCTCCATGGCCTGTAAAAGTGAAGAATGATTGAAGTATGTTTACAAATGAGAAGTGTTGTTAATAAGAACATTGTTGAATGTTGACAAGATAACTAACATTGAATATCCTGAAGAGAAAACTAGTAAAAAAAGGGGGAGGGGGAGGAACAAGGTGGGCAGTGTAAGAAAAAATATTAATATGTCCTCCTTATAAAACTGAGAGAAGTTTGGGCCGCTGCTGAGGCACAGTGAGTTACTGCCCTGGCCTGAAGCGCCAGCATCCCATATAGGTGCCTGTTTGAGATCCGGCTGTTCCATTTCTGATCCAGCTCTCTGCTATGGCCTGGGATAGCGGTAGAAGATGGCCCAAGTCCTTGGGACCCTGCACCCACATGAGAGACCCGGAAGAAGCTCCTGGCTTCTGGCTTCGGATCAGCGTAGCTCCTACCATTGCGGCCACTGGGGAGTGAACCATCGGATGGAAGACCTCTCACTCTCTCTCTGCCTCTCCTCTCTGTGTAACTGTGACTTTCAAAAAAATAAATAAATCTTTAAAAAAAAACTGAGAGAAGTGCAGATGGAGGAAAACATCTGCTTAATCCTGATTTTGATTTCTTACTATTATATCGCGGTAGTGTATTCCCTGCCAACACACAGCAAAACATCCACTTTCAAAATCAGGAGTTTCTGTTTCCAGAATTGTGGATATCATTCAAAAGGTGGAAGAGGACCTGACTCTCCCTCCCCAGCATTCTCTTCTGGTATCTCCTCAAACTCACCTCCCATGTGGCACAGAGATCCACGGTGTCATACATTACTTTTCCATTTTCATCTTTTGGAATTAGCTCTTTACTTGGCTGGAATAAAAGCAGTCATTAAAGTGATGGCTAGAAATTGAAGTTTCCACCCATGAAATGCTCCTGGGTATACCTAGGATGAGACACTAAACCTTGTAAAGTAGATGCAACAACATCCCCTACACACACATTTAAAATATTTTAATGTCTTTTGATGACAGATTTCCTCTATTCTCTCAGAACTCTGCATGTGTGTGTGTGTGTGTGTGTGTGTGTGTGTGTATACTGTTTTCCAGAGCCTAATAATGTCTCCTGGCTGACTTGTTACTTTGCTTATTTCTATAGTTTCATCTCAGGAACTGTGTCTCTCTCACTAGGAAATAAGTTATATAGCCTTGATCCTCAACAATAATAAATTGCAGTATTGACGAAAGCTGAGGAGTCAGTGTTCTCCCTGAACGCATTTATTCCAAGGACAAGTACATGACAAAACCACGGTCAATCAAGGTGCTATAAAGATTAATTTTGATGCTGTAAGATTAGAGAAGCTACCAAGAACCAATGACCATGAGCCTTTAATGTCTCAATGTCAAATTCTCCACCAAATTAAAAGACTTTGCCACACTTGTGGTAATGCAGAAGTAAGGAATTGATATAAACAAAATCATTTCTGAAGACTACTTTAAACCATGATTTGGACTCAAATATTATAAAATACAGTAAGCTCTGTTCATAGGATGTCTTGAGTAGTTTCTGTAACTTACATGAATTAAGTTCTCACACATTTATATAGTTTTAATTTAATCATGACTAAAAATGAGGGCCCATTACTGATAACTATCCATGCCAATAGCTGAAGTGAAAAAGATTTATTCATTCAAATTGCCTACCTTCAAAGCCATTGGAAAATGAATAATGTAGAGGTCCACATAGTCCAGTTGAACTTTTCTCAATGATTCTTCCAAGCTCTGCTGAACTAGCTCTGGTCGATGGGAAGTACACCAAAGCTGCAAAGGTTAATTATTGAAAGTTGTGCTGGATTAATACATTAATCAAGTTTATTTTTCATTTCACCTGATGTTGGGACATGAATCTACTAGTTAGAGACTGACCAGCACAGTGAAAAAATGCTCTCTTCTGTATTGAATATCCTTTTATCTGACCTATTCAAGTGACATTACAATGCATACATTTGATTATTAATGATCAACAGAATAATTACTCAAAAGATAAAATATTTCACAAGGTAATATAATGTCCATTTTCTGAAAAATGTTAGATGGAATTTACAAAGTAATTAAATAGTCTTGTTCTCCCTTCTTTTTACTGGTTGACAAAGAATTATTGTCAATATTAGTTCCATGACTGAGGGTGAAAATGGTTTGAAGATTTAAACATGTGTTAAACACAATTACAAAGCACTTAGCAAAATCATGTTTAAATCCCAAAGAATACTTTGATAGTGCTTGCTTTTATTGATACAATTGAAAATTTGTATTCAGAATAATAAATGAGGAAAGAAAATAAGGACAGTCATAATCTGATGGTAGCTCTCTTATTCTGTGGACCTTTGTGAAATCATACTGCTACAAGTAAGGCTCAGATAAATAAGGGGACATCACTTTAAAGATTTAAAACTGCACACATCTCTTATCAAACTGGATGTTATATTATTATGCATGAATGAATTTGTGAGATTTAATTAAAACATTAATTACTACACACTTGAACAGCATATACAAAATACCTTTGAAGTGTAGAATATGTCTTTTCTTTCCACAATGCCTTCTGCAATCTTGCTCCTGATGGCCTGTCCTATCTCTTCTTCATTATGGTACACAGAAGCAGAATCAAAATGGCGGTACCCAGCATCAATAGCTAACTTGGTGGCCTCTAGACACTCTCTTTTAGGAACCTAAGACAGAAACAAAAAATAGTATGTGGAGATCCAGGCATGAGACGTACCTCACTCAGATGGTGGTGAGGACTTCTCTAAGAATCAGTTTTTCCTCAAACTTTGAATTATTTCTAGAATGGGGGTCAGTAATCCACTTCAGTTTGTCTGGATCTTTTGTCCTTTTTTTTTAAGATTTATTTATTTATTTGAAAAGCAGAGTTACAGACTGGCAGAGGCAGAGACAAAGAGATCTTCCATCCACTAGTTCACTCTCCAGATGACCACAATGGCCCAGAGCTGCACTGATTCGAAGCCAGGAGCCAAGAGATTCTTCTGGGTCTCCCACACTGGTGCAGGGGCCCAAGGACTTGGGTAATATTCTACTGCTTTCCTAGGCCATAGCAGAGAGCTGGATTGGAAGTGGAGCTTGAACCGGCACACATATGGGATGCTGCACTGCAGGCGTTGGCTCTATCCACTATGCCACAGCACTGGCCCATCTTTTGTCCTTAATACAAAGAGCTGGTCAACCCAGGAAACTTATCAGATTCAGGAAATACCAGATTTTTTTAAACTTTTATTTAAATAATATAGATTTCCAAAGTACAGCTTATGGAATACATTGGCTCCCCCCCCCCAGTGACTTCCCTCCCACCCGCAATCCTCCCCTTTCCCGCTCTCTCTCCCCTTCCATTCTTATCAAGATTCATTTTCAATTTTCTATATATACAGAAGATCAGTTTAGTATACATTAAGTAAAGATTTCAACAGTTTGCAACCACATAGAAACACAAAGTGAAAGATATTGTTTGAGTACTAGTTATAGCATTAAATCTCAATGTACAGCACATTAAGGGCAAAGATCCTACATGAGGAGTAAGTGCACAGTGGCTCCTGTTGTTCACTTAACAAATTGACACTCCTGTATATGGCATCAGTAATTTCCCTATGCTCCAGTCATGAGTTTCCAAGGATATGGAAGCCCCTTGAATTCTCTGACTCTTATCTTATTTAGACAAGATCGTAGTCAAAGTGGAAGTTCTCTCCTCCCTTCAGAGAAATGTACCCCCTTTTTGAAGACCTGTTCTTTCCACTGGGATCTCACTCACAGAGATCTTTTATTTAGGTTTTGTTTTTTTGTGTTTTTTTTTTGTTTTTTGTTTTTGTTTTTGTTTTTGTTTTTTCCAGAGTGTCTTGGCTTTCCATGCCTGAAATACTCTCATTGACTTTTCAGCTGGATCCAAATGCCTTTAGGGCTGATTCTGAGGCCAGAGTGCTCTTTAGGACATCTGCCATTCTATGAGTCTGCTGAGTATCTCACTTCCCATGTTGGATCACTCTCCCCTTCATTTATTCTATCAGTTAGTATTAGCAGGTACTAGACTTGCTTATGTGCTCCCTTTTTCTCTTAGTCCTTTCATTATGATCAATTATGCGCTGAAATTGATCACTTGGATTAGTGAGATGGCATTGGTACATGCCACCTTGATGGGATTAAATTGGAGTCCCCTGGTATGTTTCTAGCTCTACCATTTGGGGCAAGTCAGCTTGAGCATGTCCCAAATTGTACATCTCTTCCCTCTCTTATCCCCACTCTTATGTTTAACAGGGATCACATTTCAGTTAAATTTCAACACTTAAGAATAACTGTGTATTAATTACAGAATTAAATCAGTCATATTAAGTAGAACAGACAAAAAAAATACTAAGAGGGATAATGTATTAAGTTGTTCATCAACAGTCAGGGCTATGCTGATCAAGTCACCATTTCTCATAGTTTCCATTTCACTTCAACAGGTTTCCTTTTTGGTGTTCAGTCAGTTATCACCGATCAGGGAGAACATATGGTATTTGTCCCTTTGGGACTGGCTTATTTCACTCAGCATGATGTGTTCCAGATTCCTCCATTTTGTTGCAAATGATTGGATTTCGTTGTTTCTTATTGCGGTATAGTATTCTATAGAGTACATGTCCCATAATTTCTTTATCCAGTCTACCGTTGATGGGCATTTAAGTTGGTTCCAGGTCCTGGATATGTGAATTGTGCTGCAATAAACATTAGGGTGCAGACCGCTATTTGTTTGCCAATTTAAAATCCTTTGGGTGAATTCCAAGGAGTGGGATGGCTGGGTTGAATGGTAGGGTTATCTTCAGGTTTCTGAGGAATCTCCAGACTGACGTCCACAATGGCTTGACCAGTTTGCATTCCTACCAACAGTGGGTTAGTGTCCCTTTTTCCCGACATCCTCTCCAGCATCTGTTGTTGGTAGATTTCTGAATGTGAGCCATTCTAACCGGGGTGAGGTGAAACCTCATTGTGGTTTTGATTTGCATTTCCCTGATTGCTAGTGATCTTGAACATTTTTTCATGTGCCTGTTGGCCATTTGGATTTCCTCTTCTGAAAAATGTCTATTGAGGTCCTTGGCCCATCTCTGAAGTGGGTTGTTTGTTTTGACGTTGTGGAGTTTCTTGATCTCTTTGTAGATTCTGGTTATCAACCCTTTATTTGTTGCATAGTTTGTGAATATTTTTTCCCATTCTATCGGTTGTCTCTTCACTTTCCTGACTGTTTCTTTTGCAGTACAGAAACTTCTGAATTTGATGCAACCCCAATAGTTGATTTTGGCTTTGACTGCCTGTGCCTCCCGGGTCTTTTCCAGAAACTCTTTGCCTGTGCCAATATCTTGAAGGGTTTCTCCAATATTCTCTAATAACTTAAGGTGTCAGGTCGTAGATTTAGGTCTTTAATCCATCTTGAGTGGATTTTTGTGTAAGGTGTAAGGTAGGGGTCTTGCTTCATGCTTCTGCATGTGGAAATCCAGTTTTCCCAGCACCATTTATTGAATAGACTGTCCTTGCTCCAGGAATTGGTTTTAGATCCTTGATCAAATATAAGTTGGCTGTAGATGTTTGGGTTGATTTCTGGTGTTTCTATTCTGTTCTATTGGTCTATCCATCTGTTTCTGTACCAGTACCATGCTGTTTTGATTACAACTGCCCTGTAGTATGTCCTGAAATCTGGTATTGTGATGCCTCCGGCTTTGTTTTTGTTGTACAAGATTGCTTTAGCTATCAGGAAATACCTGATTAATAATGTATATCTAAGGTTTGCAGATTTGCTGGAAGGACTCAGAGAATTTTCATGTAGTTATTATTTACATGGTGAGATTACAAAGTAAAATTAGCCTAGCAAAAATGCATATGGAAGGAAGTACAGAAGAACAATGGTACAAGCTTCGATGAGCTCCCTTGCAGTGTAGTCATAATAACACACCATATTCCTCCACCAGGAATTCTGTTTAAATTAAGTCTTGAGATTTAACTTAATTATTCACTGGGGGCAGGTTATATAGGCCCTCTGAACCAACCAAAATAACACTCTCCCACAGGAAAGCACAGCAACCAAAGTACCACTCTTCCATGGGAAAGCAGTTACACTTAAAACTCATTTCTCAAAGGAGTTCTGATGCAACAACAACCTTATCACTTAAGGAATGGGGTAAACTATGTTCACCAATCCTAACCAGGAACCACTATGATAATAATCAATTCAAGAGACAACAGTCATTTATGTTAAATATTTTCTACACAGACACTTCGTTTGCATGAAAAAAATAAACATTTAAGTATATATGCATAATCCTATCGTATACATTTATGTGTAAGAACTTAGCCTTATCACACAAGAGTTATTTAATCTAGGTGTCAGTCTTCAAATAAAAGGCACTTGTTTTAGGGTAGCTATAATTAGGGCAAAATCAAAAATTTTGGTTACATCTACAAAATTTCAATAAAGATTTGACAGTGTATTGGTAACAGATCAGAAAGGAAATCAAGCTCACACTATTTGCTTTAAGAATTTGAGAAATTGATCATTTCTAATGAAATCCGAATGAAGTAGATACTGAATGCTACTGTTCTCTCCTGACACCAATCTGGTGCTGACCTGGGGTTAGGGCAAAGAAATGAACTAAGGCTAAAGGTCTGCTGGTGTCCTTCATTATCCATGCCCTTCATGACACATTGCCCTGAAAATAACCAAGTCTTGTCACATGTCTCCAAAATTGCCACTTTAAGATTTCCTTTTATCAAAGACAGGAGAAAACGGGGACTTCAATTCTGAAGTAATTGGTCCTTTGTTACACAATTTCAGGACCTAGGGATAATATTAGTCCTAAAAAATCTTCCTCACTCTAATAAATTATTCACTATACTGACTTTCATTTCAGAGAGCCCCAGATACCAATTTCCTTAAATACAGCATACATTAATGAGGACTAGTAATTTAGACATACTCTTATTATGTTCCAATTATCCTCTAACATGTTACCTTTTCCTTTCTGGTATTTTCCCAGATAACACAGTACTACATGAGAAAATCTGCTTAACCCATGTCCACTATTTACAGCGTGATTCTCAAGGTTACCCCAGAGCAGTTGACCCGGACTCTATTAATGATCTATCCCAGTAGTTCATCCACAGAAATTTCCATCTATCTTGTCTACTTGCAAGGAGAAAAAAATTCTTCAGCCATGAAATGGAAAAGAAACCACTCCCATGGCTGCCAACCTTTAAAAAGACAGCTTCTTGACTTGACTTTCATCTTTTCTGCCAAATTGGGAAAATTAAAAAGGGGGGAATCCAGTACTGGTGAGAAAGATCAGTAGGTGATCAAGAGATCAGAACCTGATGCAGAACTAAGTCTAAGTACCCTCTGTCTTGTGCTCCAGGCTGGTAAAACTTAGAACATAACCATCCCCCACCCCTGCTCAGAGACACTGGAAATCGGGTCTTTAAAGAGATAACTAAGTAACTCCAAAACTGAGGTTGGTTTCCACTAATATACATTCTATTTCATTTTTACATTCAATCCTAAGAATACTATGCTTACCTCTATAGGTGCAGCAGTGCCAAATCCCAGTACAGGTATGATGTTACCATCATTTAATTCCATCACATAACGTCTGGAATCCATTGTCTCCTCTAGGTAACTGCACAGTTCCTTCTGTCTTCTCAGTGTAGCCAGTCACACGTCTTCACTTCTTAGGCCTTCAGAAGATAGTACCAGTATGTGAATGACCTAATACTTGTGCAATCATTAACCAAAGGCATGTGGACAGAATGGAGCTAAAGCAAATTCAAACACTGTGGACAGTATTTCAACCAGTTAGTTGTTTATATATATATATATATATATATATATATATATATGAAAGTTTATTCTTAAATGAACTACATGGAAATAAGGAAAACACACATTTTTAATGAAATTTCTGTTTATAATATCATACCTAGTACTGAAAATTATTATTAGTTTAAATAATTGCAGGCTATTGATTATACTAGAAAATTCTGGATATGTGTTCTCCTTAAAAAAATATTTAATTTGTTTATTTGACGAGCAGAGTTACAAAAGAACGAAGGGAGAGGAAGAGAGAGGTCTTCCATCATCTGGTTCACTCCCCAAATGACCTCAATGACCAGAGCTGGCAATCTAAAGCCAGTAGCCAGGTGCTTCTTCAGGGTCTGCCACGTGGCTGCAGGGGCCCAAGTCCTCAGGATCTTCTGCTTTCCTAGGTCATAAGCAGGAAGCTGGATCAGAAGAGGAGCAGAAGGGACACAAGCTGGCATTCATATGTGATGCCTGTGCTGCCAAGTAGAGCCTTGGCCTACTATACCACAGTGCCGGCCCCTCTCCTTTTGTTTTGATTCTCTTAATGTTTCCATAAATATCATATTACTTAAACATTCAATTGGATATCTAACACCGCGTACACACACACACATGCACAGAAACAGACACATAAACACATACACTTTAGAGTTAGGAAAATGACTAAAGAGATCATTCTCAAATTTGCATCCTCAACTTTAAAATTTCCTGTGTTTTGTAGTCTTGTAGCATTATGTTTATTGTTGTTGCGTATTACAAAGATGTTTCCTTTTAAACAGAGAAAAGCTCTCCCTTGACAATCTGCATGGAATGGAATTTTCAAGCATGCACTCAAACCCTAAACCCTGTTTCAGTAGTAGGCTTTTGACTCAGCAGCTAAGACATCTCCTGGGGTGCCCACATCTCATATTGAGGACCTGATTCTAGTCCAGGCTCATCCATTTCTAATCCAGCTTCCTGCTTATTTGAACCCTAAGGGACAGCAGATCATAGTTCAAGTACTTGGGTCCCAGACACCTATGTGGAAGACCCAGATTGACTTCTAAGTTCCTGGGTCATCCTGACCAACTTCTGTTGCAAGGATTCACGGTATGAACTAGCACATAGAAGATATATCTCTCTCTAGATCTCTGTGTATATGTCACATTTTTTTCTGTGTTCCTTTTAATAAAATCGAAAGAATTAAAAAATATTAAAAATGTCTTCAGTCAAAGCCAAATCTCTCACTTAGAATCTCTCATCACCCAGTTTAGAGAATGATAATATAATCTATAATATGCATAATTTTCCCAGTCTTTCCTGCATTTCAATGTGCTGTTGCCTAAATTATGATACTTTTATGTCTCTTGTGGGATTCTAATAATTTTCATGACTTCAACTTTTAACTAGTTGTCTTGCATAGATTGGGTAATAGAACGCTAATTTTTTGTACTTGAATATGACAGCCTTAACTGCTCCTGTTAGTCACAAATCTCGGATGTGCTGTCTTGTTGTATGTGAGCTTTTCACAGATTTTCAAAAATGAGCATTGGGGCCAGCCCTGTGGCGCAGTGGGTTAACGCCCTGGCCTGAAGCACCAGCATCCCATATGGGTGCTGGTTCAAGACCTGGCTGCACCACTTCTGATCCAGCTCTATGTTATGGCCTAGGAAAGCAGTAGAAGATGGCCCAAGTCCTTGGTCCCTGCACCCATGTGGGAGATCCAGAAGAAGCTCCTGGCTCCTGACTTCTGTTGCAGCCAGTTGGGGAGTGAACCATAGGATGGAAAACCTCTCTCTCTCTCTCTTCTCTGCCTCTCCTCTTTCTGTGTAATGCTGACTTTCAAATAAATGAATAAATCTTAAAAAAAAATGACCATCATCTTCCCTAGTGAAGAGTGGAGAGTCTACTGGAAAACCAGTCTGGAGCTTTCTCCATGAACTGCTCATTAGATATCTTTTTTTCTCCCATGGGGTGGTGGTTCCCATTAATTATTATGGCCTTAAAGTGCTCAAATGCAATATTACATGGAACTTTCCCATTTAAATTTGATCTAATGTTTTAAATAGAATTGAAAAACTGTGTAAGTCAATCAACATATCAGCTAAGTTTTCCAACATATGGTATAATGGGATTAAGACAGCAAAGTATTATATTTTTCCACCTTGCCTTTGGAGATTTGATGTGATTTTTTTTTCAAATTTACATATCTGAAACCCTTCATACTTGGTTTGCTAACCAATGAATGTTAAAACATAGAATATGCCCTACTCTAAAGAAATAGAGTAGACAGCTGAAAGCTTAATTGGTGCCTGGAATGATTCTCCAGATAGAATGATCTTTGGTTCCAAGTGACAGCAACTGCAGAGCCATGATCACTTTATCCACTTTCTGTTGCTATTATTCTCCTTCTATGTTTCATAAATACTAACCCTGTTATCTTTACAATGGTACATTCATATAGAAGCCTTACAGAAAGACCTTTTTTCCTATTTTGATATTATTACAGCATCACGGTTTGAGGCGCATTGGCAGTGTGATCTCATTGTAAACTGTTAATCAGCTGTTTACCCTGGAACAAAGAAGGCCTGGGACTTTGAACAATCCAACTGGCTCCAACATCACCTTCCCGCAATGACTCGAGCCATAAACATACTATCACAACCATCCAGGGTGTCTCACTGGACTCTGGACTCCCAGTGACACATTTACAGGGATAAAGTTTTCAATCAAAAACGAATAGCAATAGGAGACAGGAAAACATTCTCAGGGGACTTAGTAACAAGAGACTCCAGATGTGCAAAACTGAAACACAGGAATATGAACAAAGAAGGCAATATGACTCTCAAAAAGAACACAATGATACATTAATACTGCACCGTGAATAGGGGAGATTGGCAATGTGTCTAATAAGGAATTCAAAACAGTGATTGTAAGGTACTCAGAAACCATTGAAAGAAATAAGGCAATCCAAACACGGCATGGACAAGGATGTCTGCAAAGAAAGATATTGAAAAAGGAAAAACAGATGGAAGTCTTAGAAATGAAGTATTCAGTAAGTCAAACAACAACAACAAAAAAGCATTACAGTGGATAGCATTAACAATACAGTTGGTGAGGCAGGAGAAATAATATATGATCTAGAAGATAAGTCTTTTTTTACATAACAGACAAAAAATAAAGAAAGAAAAAAATTAGAAAGACTGAAAACACTGCTTGGGATCCATGGGATATAATCAAATGAACACACATATCAATCTTAGGACTTCCTAAAGGCCTGGGGAAAAATCTCAGCAAAAATATTCAGTGAAGTAATGCCTGTCCATCAATGTTAGGGCACTCGGCTTTACCAAACATCAACGTATATAAAGGGAGACATAAGCTCCCATAAAAAAAGAATGGGTGATAGCAACACCACATTTTCATCAATGGACAGATCAGCTAGACAAAAAAAAAAAAAAAAAAAAAAAAAAAAAAAAAAAAAAAAAACAGAACACAGCAAAAACAGTGTTAAGAGGAAGTTTTAGAGCAACCAACTAGCTCTTCATTTTACTGATACTTTTCATAGTTTTTTTTAAATTTCTGTTTTGTTCACTTCTCTAATTTTATTTTTTCTTTCATTCTACTAATTTTAGGCTTGATTTGTTCTTATTTTTAGGTCCTTGAAATGTTTTGTTACATAAGTTACGTGATATCTTTCAATTATGTGATGTTGGCACAAATGAATAAACATGATACATCACATCAACAAAATGAAGGTTAAAACCATCTGATTACCTCAATAAGTGCAGAGGGTGTTTGATAAAATACAACATCATTTTCTGTTTTTTTTTTTTTTAAAAAAACCTTTAAATTTGGATATAAAGGGAATATACCTCAACACAATTAAGGCAATTTATGGCAAACCCACAGCTCGCATCATATTGAATGGGGAAAAGTTGGAAGCAGTTCCACTATGATCCAGACGAGAATGCCTACTGTCACCACTGTTATTGAATGTAGTAATGGAAGTTTTTGACAGAGCCATTTGGCAAGAAAAATAAACGAAAGGGATAGGAATTGGAAATGAGGAAGTTAAATTATCCCTGCTTGCACATGACAGGATCCTTTACCTAAGAGCACCAAAAGATTCCACTAAGAGATTATTAGAACTCGTAACAGAATTCAGTGAAGTTGCAGGGGTAAAAATCAACAGAAAAAAATCATTATCATTCTTCTACATCAACAATGTTCTAGATGAAAAAGAACTTGTAAGACAGTCCCATTCAAACAGCTACAAAAATGATGAAAAATAAGACATGCCGGTGAAGATGTGAAGAATAGGGAAACTACACGCTGTTAGTTTGATTGCAAATCAATGTAACTGTTACGGAGAACAGAATGGCAGTTCCTCAAAATATGAAAAAAGATCTACCATATGACTCAGATATCCCAATTCTGGGCAGATATCTAACATGCACTGTCATGTTAATTTCAGCAATGTTTACAATAGTGAAGATACAGAATCAACCTAGGTGTGCACTGCTGGATGAAACCAGAAAGTGGTATTACCGCACATTCAGTGCGAATGAATACTACCCCAAAATAAATTATAAAATAATAAATGCTGGTGAGGTTCTGGAGGGATTGAGGGATAGAGGGAAGTAGGGTGGAAAGTATCATTATACTCTTAAAAGTGTATTTGTTCCACCTGTGGCGTCGGCATCCCATATGTGCCCCAGTTCCTGTCTTGGTTGCTCCTCTTCTGACCCAGCTCTCGCCTATCGCCTGAGAAAGCAGTGGTAGGTGGCCCAGGCCCTTGGCCCCTGCAGCCATGTGAGAGAGCCAGAAGCAGCTCCTTGCTCCTGGCTTCAGATGGGCCCAGCTCCGGCCATTGCAGCCATTTGGAAATGAACCAGCAGTTGGAAGA